TCTCCCGCCTGGGTACAGGTAAGTGCCTTTCTAACGGGTACAAAGCAAGAACTCGTGCGCATGCTGACTGCCTCGGAGTTCAGACTAAATACCATGCTCGTTCTCTCTCTTATCCATAACTGTTCATACTGCTTCTGTTAATCCCATAATGGCACCTCTGTTTAATGTGGACACTCTAGTGGAGCTCCAAGAATTCCAGTCCTGTTGGTCTAATTAGATTCAGCTTCAAGCCCAAGCGGTGCGGTAAGGGTCTGGGCCTATTAACTTAATTGTAATCCATTTTATTCGGGTGTTGGGTGTTTCAGTTTGAATGCCGCACCTCAAATTCTTGGTTTGTTTCCGTGGCAGTTGGCAGAGTGTAGAATATGATCCCAGAACCTTGCTAAAGCACTGGTCCTCATACTAAAGAAAGTTGCTGCAGTAATATACATACCAGTAGGGAGAGACACCCCCACCCCCCTAGATTTTGTGAGTTGCTTCAAGCTATTCCTACATGGTCAATTCCTACCACTTTGCCCATATGGGAATGTGACAGGAATCATTGCAGGGCTCTTGCATTCAATTACACCATATGGCTGCACAGTACCATTGTAGACGTGAAACGCCAGTGCTATTTTGAGCGAGTTCCAGCTTTCCGTAGCATGGCTTTGAAGACAAATTGCTCCAGCGTGCCCTATTTGGCAGCTCACTGAATGGGTACCTGAATGTGGCGCTGTGTCTTTAAGAGCGGTGACCCAGTTCTGGCTGGGCGGCTCGGAGTTACACAGCTGCAGCTGACTGGGGACTTGGAGGGGAGAGTGACTGCTGAGTGACTGCTCCGATGGCCGCCCCCGGCGTGCCCCCCGCGGCTGCAGGGCTTCTGTATGCGGCGTCTCGCGTATCAAGCACAGGTGTGGGGAGGGGTAACTCCACTAACAGGCGTCATACATACCACAATGCAGCCTGGCAGTGGCGCTGAGTCACACTCTGAAGGCATGGAGACCAGTGGCACTTTGGCTATGAGGTGCATGCAAGTCAAGCTGACTTGTTTTGGGCTGTTGGTATGTTTATGTGAAATTAATTCAAAGAAATGATGCTTTATTTGCCGTTTGCACGTAGGTACGGTTGAGAGTGAAGTCTGGGGTCCAAACACAGATGCTTTGAAGTACCTCAAGGGGTTTTAAAGGCCCTGGTCAAGGGTTGAAAAGAGATGAGTTTCCTGTCAAGGCTGGAAATGGTGACCTTCTGATTACAGGCACAGAGACCTAACCCACTGAGTCACAGCCCACCCCCACATGTACGTGAAACTGGCCTCTGTGATTCCGGACTTTGGCGGTAGGTGAGCACTCGCTCCTGGCAGGACGCCTTGTCCTGCGGCACGTAGGCATCACTCGCTCCGAGCTGTCGCTCCACACCTCCAGCTCTCCCAGCACAGTGTCTCCATGCGTGACGTGGCCGCGAGAAGCCGGCGTGGGCCTTGTCACATTGCCACACTTAATGCTGACCTGCACACTGGGATATACAGAGTTGAGTCATGCGTTTCCTGCATTGACTTCTGCCTCCTATAGACAGGCTACAAAGCATTTACTGCTGGTAGTAGTGGAGAGTGATGTTTACCACTGGGCCCTTGAGTAAGGTCCTTATCCTATGATTGCTCCAGGAGCTGCTTGCCCCCACTTTCCTAAATGTCTGCCGCCTTGGATAAAAGTCTGATAATTAAATGTTGAATGATTATTAAATCATTTGTATCTTAATAGGCAAGTAAAGAGCTAGTGATGTAAACTAGGATAATTCGTCTTTTAATTTTGCCTGTATAGATGAAGATGAATCTGCTGATGAATAAAGCACAGGGCTCCTGCAGCCCTGTATTAACTGGAGCACTTTAAGCTGGTCCCATTGGCTTACTGTAGCATTCAGACAGCTCCCTGCAACGGGGGGGGGCGTAACGGCTGATCACATGACTGCCTGGGACTAGCCGTAAGAATGAATTCAACAGACAAATACACAGACATGCACACTATAGGATGGAAGCCATTACCTGCTAGGAGAGGGGTCATTTCGCGTTTGCTGACTTTGCTCTCACTGGAGATTAGAGCAAATGGGAATTTTAAAAATGTATTGCATGAGATTGAGAATTGTCTGCTTTATAACAAACAGAAAAAATAAAAAAAGATGTGCAGCACTTCAAGACACTAAGCTGAAATATATGCTCATATTCTGCCATTTTCTGAGTGACTTGCCTAGGTGTCATTTTTAAAACTGCAGAGGAAAGACTTTGAAGGCTTTGGGCAATTTGCTGTAAAGCCCTGTGTGGCGATACTAATGGTGAAGTGAATTCTGGGTAATCTGCTGTGGGGCCGTGATGCCAAGTGAGGACAGTTCCATATAATCTGTGGATCTGGGAGGAGAAGTACTGTGGCGTTCTCCTCAGCAGTGGGTGTGGTCTCTGTGACGATAGAGCTAATCTTCTCAGACAGCTTACTGTGTGCTGTAAGGTAGCAGCCAGTCTATTGTACTCTGCCATCTGTCTGTGTGTTTTTAATAAACAAACATGGGCCACATCACACGCCTCAAAACCTCATGCCACAGATTAGCTAACAAAGACCTCTCAAACTGGGTCCCAAATACAAAACCATCTGCACAACGTAAAATTACCCAACATATCAAACAAGTATTATAGCAATAAAATAAATTATTCTGAAATTGTGAGTAAAAAATAAACTGCCACTGTTAAACACTTGTGTTTTGTATTCTCAGTCATGTCTGTTCTCATCAACATGTTGGTATGTATTTGGTACAGTAGATGGACCTGAATTTAATTTCAAGAATGGTAAACGCAGCTCTGGGAAAAAATGAAGAGACCACCATATTTTTAAATATTGCGCATTTTAAATCCTGCTTTAATCAGGGTTCTGCTGGCAGAAGTGGCTTCCAAGCTAATAGTTTGTAGGACAGCAGCAACTTTCTAATGTCAGAGATGACCGTTAACATCCAGCAGTGCCTCATAAATCGGAGGATGACCTCAAGTGACCTTCAAAAAGAATTATTAAGTGATGTGCACTGCTAGGACAGTTCGCATCAGGCTCCTAGAAGCAGGACTGAAGTCCCATAAAGCAAGGAAGAAGCCCTTCATCAATGAGAAAGAGGGAAGAGCCAGATTCCCATAAAGTTTCATAAACTGAAAATTTTGCTGTGGTCTCTTAATTTCTTCCATAGCTATAAGTCAATAGTGGGGAAAATATTGTCTTGTGACAGCATGTTGCAACAAGAACACACCCAGGATAGTCATGCCACTGTCTGAATCAATGCAGATGTGTCTATAGCTAAACTTCACTGAAAACACAGTGACTCATCGCAGGTGAAGAACGGCACACAGCGTGTCCTCTCCTTTTGCAGCAATAAGGTCCGTAAAGTCCCCCAAAACATGGCCAGATGCCCATTTTTACCTCGCAGCTCTGTTTGACTCTAAATCAATGGGTGGCTCAGTGATGCATGATCAAAAAAATATTCCAGTCTCAGCACATGATGTTAATTGGAGTGGCACAGTGGGAGCACTGAGGCAAAACAACTCCAAGATTGTAGATCCAGTTCTAAGCTTGGCTCCTTGAGTTAGGATGAATATGCAATCATCTGGATTTCATTCCCAACACATGGACTGTGGGTTTATTCCATAGTTCATAGACACACAGCTTTGATGGATTGGTGTGTATGTGTGTGTACTCTGTGATGGACAGGCATCCTATCTAGGGTGTACTGTAGTGTGTGTGCTGTGCTTCTTAGAATCGGATCCAGGCAAAAAAGGTCCTGCAAAATGGATGGATGCAAAAATCAAGCATTCATGAGCCTTCGCAGTCTTCAGGTACTGTGATGTTGTGGGTTCTGCTCTCAAGGTTCTTTCAAAAGATTTGGAGGGAATCAAGATAAAGAAGCAGCAAGACTTTGTCCTGCGTTCCTGTGCATGTTTATATATGTCTCTGCATGTGTTTATTTGTATTTATTTGTGTTTGTATGTCCTATGATTATTTAAGAAAGTGTGAGTAATATGTGGTTTTGCACGTTTTAGTGTTTATGTGTGTGCATGTCTGTATACACAAGATGGTTTACTGCTAATGACCAAGTATTCATTTAGACATTTATTTTTTAATGTTTTTTAAAGAAGTACATACACACTAAAGGGGGAAAAGCACTAAGGCTGAGCTTGCTATCCTGGCGAAGAAAGAATAATGAATATTCCCTGTCACCGGCTGACCTACTCCCACAGTTATAAGGCTCATTCTTGTGTTTCTAGGTGAAAGAGAAAATCTCAGTGCTTCAGGCCAGAGTGTCTGACAGCATTAAATGATTACCCGGTGGGGCTGCTCAATCAGATGGTTTCCCTGGTAACCAGACTTTCAGCCACATTGCGGAGCAGCTATGGGCTAAGGGGTAACAGTGAATACGAGATTCATTTCCATATTTACTCTCCAGTACAGAATCCTGTTTGCAGTTTGGAATTCTCAAAGATGGCCTGGCCATTGTGAGGCTTCACCTACTATATGGTGTTCATATTTCCATGGAGGAGTTGGGTAAGGAGTGGCTTATTCTGATGGGATGACTGCTTCAGGATTTCTGGCTGTACTAGAATAGCCCCCAAGCTATTTTTCTACTAGGTATGAGGCTGTAGCCAATCACAGATCCACCACAGCTGAGGTAAGGAGCATGCAGTGATTACAGTGCATAAGGAGCATGCAGTGATTACAGTGCGTAAGGAGCATGCACTGATTACAGCTAGTGCATCGCCACACCCACCACATCACCTCAGGGATGAGAACCTGAGTGCAGCCATGTGGCGGGTGATACCTCAGCACCACACTAGCCCAAATGAACCAGTGTAATGTTTTTCAGGAGAGCCACTAACTCCCAAGTTATTCCTTGTAAGTTGGAGGACCTCTTTATAAGGCTGGATGTAGATTAACATCATACTCAGGATGAAGCAATTGCAGGTTAAGGACATAGCTCAAGGGCCCAACAGAGTAGACTCACTCTGGGCATTCATGGGATTTGAACCAGCAACCTTCCCACACACAGATCCGTAGCCCCAGAGCCTCCACTACGTCCCAGCTAAGCTATGCTAATTTACCCACGACTCTCTCCTGCTATTACACTGCTATTAATTGTGTAATATCCAGCGGTCAAGTTGTAAAAATATTTCAAGGGGGATGGTGGGGGTCAAGTTTTTGTGGGAGGGTCCCTGCAATAAAATTTCCCAGGGGGGGGTCCCAAACAGATTGCTGAGGATACTATTTGCGGAGCAATCATGCTGTCTAGATTACGTTGTGTTTTGCCCAGAGCTCAGCTTCCATGATTACACTGGACCTTCTGCATGTACACCTGGACTAAACACAATTTTACGTTATACTGTACATCTGGACTTTGTTATTCCTGACTTCCTCTGCCGGCCCCTGGAGGATGGGCTCCCCCTTTGAGTCTGGCTCCTCCCAGGGTGTCATCCTGCTAGGGAGTTTTGCATTGCAACTCTGGCTTAATCTCAGGGGTTTGAGTGGAGATAATATGAAGTAAAGATGTGCTTTACAAAAATGAATTGAATTGAATTGAGTTGAAGTAGAGTTTTGGATTGGAGTCCACCCTGATATATTTGGTAGATGTACCTTCACATGAGTGAAATTACACAGAACGGTTTAGGGGGCTGGGGGCTGGAGGGGGGGGATGATATGTTCTCAGTGGGGGTGGTTTTCATTTTCTTCCACAGGGGGATGACATGCATGTGCATAACCATAACTGCAGCCCTGGTAATATCTAATTCTTATGTTTGTGCAAATGCATCAGTGGAAACGAATGAGAGCATTTGGTGTTTTTTAGTTACATATATAACAAAAACAATTGAACATACAGAAACAAAATGTATTATATGATTTTACTCGAATGTCTTCTGCAATTTGTATTTTAATGCTTCCTATAACTCATTTATAATGAAGAATTATAGTGTAGAAAATGGATTGTTGTTCATTTTTAAAAATCACAGCAGAAGATCAATTTGTGGGGAATTGAAGTTACTTCAGCTTTGGTTCTGGGTTTTGCACAGCTCTAGTTAAGTTTTTAAATGGTCGCTAAGAGTCACAGAACTAAATGAACAGAAGACGAAAACGCATTATATGCAGTCTAATCAATTATCCATTCATTTTCCAGCTGCTTATCCAGTAGCCAGAGGAAAACCACACAACACGGGGAGAAAAAGCAAATTCTCACATGAACCCCAAGTCCTAGAAGTGTGAGGCAATGAGTCTGTTCCCCCTCTGAGCTGTGATGCTGCCCACTTGTATAAATTTACATCAGATATCATTCCTTAGCACAAACTGTCTGAACATTTAAGTGAAAATGTCATTGTGTTGGAGACTCAATCAATAATACATTTTTATTTAATTTTTTTTTTAATTAAACTGTGGATGAAATTAAAGTATCCGAGATAAACTGAAATTACTACGTCGGGACCCCTCAGAAGATGGAGCTCTAAGCGGCCGCCTATGTCGCCACTATGGCGGCACTGGTCTTAACCACAAAATCGAAGTTATCGTTACAAGTAACGAGTTTATAGTGTAGCATAAAGCGTCAGAGTGGTGCCCCCTAGCGGAAAGCAGTATGTGACATGTATGAATCGAAAGATTTTGTTTACAATAGGTACTACAACCACAGTTAGGCCTAAATACAACATTATCAGTTATATTTGTGCATTGTATTTCACAATTTAGAATGTAACGAGTGATATTGGTTCATATTTGCTTTATGATTATTGGATTAAAACGCAGTACTGTGAATAAAACATCATAGGAAAACTTATGTTATAATTCATAACATGTTTATTCCTTGCCTAAAGATAATCAAAGGCTGATCAACCGTTTTTAAGTGCACGAATATTGAGGTCATTAATGTATTTCGAAAATATTTTGAAACAAAGCTCGTTTGATAATTAACTTGAAGAAGCAAACTGCCCTTGTAATCTGATTCTTTCAAGGTCCAATGAGGGCGTTTGCTTTAGAACTGGAAAGAGGTTCATCCCGCAGTACTTATCCCGATCAACATTATGGCGATCTTCTCCACGCTTACGCCTGTGTTTCTGGCTGTTTTATGTATTCTGATAGCGATTATTTTTAAAAACTTTAAGAAGAGCGAAAAGAAACCAAAGACAGATTCTAAGCCTCCAGTACCTTCTAGACCGTGGGTGGATGAAGACCTTGAAGACGACACTGAAATCAACCCAGGTGAAGGTAAGCAGATAGTCTACAAAAGCTGCAGGTTTAACTACCAAAAGTTGAAAATGAACAAGTAATGAACACACATACATACGCGCGCACACACACACAAATGTGCATCTATTTGTGACTATGGCGTGACTGTATGTCGTGTGAAATCAGTGTCTCGTTCTGCTCGGGAAGTCGTTGAATATGTGCTTGAAACTAAGGTTTTAATAAAACCTTAGCCCATCATCCTATGAGTACAGTTTACATTCAGGTCATACTGTCCAAATTGTCGGTACATTTCCCAGGTCTCTTGCACATTGTGCTTATATTGCACATCTCAATAAATACAGCTCTGATTACAACAGATACGAAAGTGTTCAAATGTTTAGATACTTAG